AAAAAAAAAAAAAAAAAAAAAAACCCTCTGTGAGTGCCTGCGTCCAGGTGCTTGCCAGTGATAAGCAATCGAACTGTTGCCCTCAGAAGAGTCAGAGATAATTAACAAAATAGTACACTGTTCTTCGGGATATCCCTTAATATTGAGCGGCATTAATCAAATATCCCCGGTTAGCAGTAAATCCGACCAGATACAGCGAAAATTACCATGGCCCCTGCGCAATCAAGGATGACGGATAAATCGAGGAACGGTCCAAATTACGTCCTAAAATCGCATTTTCCGGCGAGAGAAACAGTAAAAGAAAAAGACAGCAACAGTTAAACAGTATCGACCTAGCCCGAATCTCATTGTGTGCAATCGACAGCGCAGAAAAGCAGCAGCAAGGGAGGGGGGGAGGGGGGGAGGGGGGGAAGAAAAAGAATCCAAGCTGCAGCACAGCCTAACAAACGAAATAATGGAGAGGGGAGAGGGGGGAGGGAGGGAGGGAGAACATTGTGAGGGTTATGCTTTTGCTCTGATGAACTTCAGCAAACTTAAGAGTTGACAACTTAACAGGACAAAGGTGCTAGTGGTGACTGATTTCGTCAGCACCACTAGCACTACAGGGTGCGTGTGTTCCAAAACAAAAAAAAAGGACAGTGAACTCGGCCTTTTGGCTAAGATCACGTCTTAAAAAAATTTAAAAAAAAACGAACGGAACGAAATGCAAGGCTACCAAACAGTGGCGGACCGGGAGTCAGATCCCATTTTCCAGGATTCGTCGTCACACATAAACAAAAAAACACGTCGCCTATAAAAAAACACATAATCGAGGTAATAAGAGAAGAGCCTTGCCACAGGAATGCACTTGGACCGGTTTCAAGTATAAGATTCCCCATGTAGCATCGATAGTCGACGATAGATGAATTAACTCGATTTTTTTTGTAGTACACCTCCTAAAATGCCCCTCTCCGTAAGAGAGTTGGTCGGGTTTTCGGCCGGGTTTTTCGGCTGGGTTTTTCACACTTGTCGACCCTCTGCTGGGTCCTAGTATATCGTTCATCAACCTAAATCCAATTCACATCCCTCTTAAATCCACGGTGAAAGAACAGAATAAACTCGATTGGCTGTAGTCATCAGGATGAGCAGAGCGATTAATTACGAGGAAAAAGCTTGGCTGTAGTCATCAGGCTACCTTTAACTCAATTCCATTCTGAATCAGCAGAATAAACAGCATAGGGCGGAAAAACTGTATTGCGGTCGATGAGCAGAGCGATTAATGACTCGTCCTGGAGTCGTCCACCAATCCTTGGGCGATGGGCAGAGCAATTCATGACCTACACGGCAAGCTTCATCGGAAGCACATGCTTCACTGGGAACACTATAGCTCTATGCTGCTGGGAATAAACCTGAAATGAAGAAGATGCTGGGCTTCACAATGGACAGACAAGCTAAATGAAGAACCTGATACGAAGCAGACTTAAATGAGAGGGAGGGTCCTCCGCAAACAGTAGACGTTTTCTTTCGTGTTTCATAACTTCCACAATGACATCTCTCTCTCTCTCTCTCTCTCTCTCTCTCTCTCTCTCTCTCTCTCTCTCTCTCTCTCTCTCTCTCTC